TAATACGAATTTAAAGGTTTGGAACTATTTTGTAAACATTTTAAAGGTTTGAGACCAAATTTTATATTTTCCCCAATTGATAAAAAGGCATTTAGGATCTGATCGAAATCCCAGAATAAAACTAGGGACCAAATTGACCACCCACGGAAGTAAAGTTGTTCACTTTTCTTGTCGATTGAACCTCAGATCAAAAGAGCCTTGAAAGGGAGGATAAGAATGTACGTAACTTGTCAATTTAATTCTCAATTTCTGAAATGCAAATTCAACACATAACTCATTTTCTAATTAAAATTACTTTAAAAAAAGAAAAAAAGAAAAAAGAAAACATGCACCATAAAAGATAGGCCTAATTAATAGTAGTAGCACTAAATAATTTTAAATTTAAATTAAAAATAATATGATTATTGAATTGAACTTTCAAATTTAATAATTCATCATAATATTTTAAAACGTTGATCAAAATTCAACTCTTATTGATGATTTAAAAAATAAATTAAAATTAAAAATAATATGATTGTTAAATTAAACCTTCAAATTTAATAATTCATCACAATATTTTAAAATTTAACTTTAATCTATTAAAATTCGACTCTTATCATTGACTTAAAATCCCTCCACTCGAATCTGATCCTTCGGGTTAAGTGACTCTAACCACGCTTATAAGGTTCATGTTTCCCTCTCAAGACAACGGTTCGAACCAGTCCTATGACAAAAATGTTTAAAATCCCCCCACTCCTTTAAAATTTCCCAATATTCAAAGAAAAAAAAAAGGGTGGTATGATTGTTAGGACAAGACAGGATAGGAGGAGATAGTTTAGAGGGCACCGCCTTAACCTGAATCATGCTTGAGCAGAAGAATTAGACCGACTAAGCGCCTGTCACTATCCTTGAGCCTTCCACATCTCACCAAACCCCTTTCGGTTTCACTTAAGAAAACAAATTTCTTAATATTATCGAAAACATGAACAACTAATCAACACTATTAATTTTATTCGAAGTTGACGTGGTTTATATGATAAGTTTTCATATTTATATTTATCTATCTAAATAATTTAATAATTATTTTTTTCATTAAAAATAAAAAAT